ACAGTATCAGCTATTAACATATCAAACACATGCCAGGAGTTAATTTTCGAAGCAGCAATGATTCGCATGCAGACAACAAAGAAAAAGGATATCTACATTCTGGGAATCTATAGACCACCAATCGAAAATGCAAGAATTGCCCTTGACCTCCTATCAGACACGCTAGAACTACAAGAAGTACACAAGAAAAACCTAATACTTATCGGTGACATAAATATCGACAGGCTCACCCAAGATTCCAAAAACACCATGCTGGAAGAAGAGTTAACCACAAAACATCTGGAGATTTCCTCTAGAGGCCACCAGAATAACCCATGACACAGCCACTTCAATAGACTGTATATGCTCAAACATACCATGTGCGTATATTACTGGACAAGTTGTGCATACTGGTCTATCTGACCACACTGCGCAGCTGTGCCTGCTGAAAACACACCAAGAAGACACTTTCCAAAGATTTGTAATGAAAAGAAGCCTAAACAACACAAACCTAAACAATCTGAAGGCCCACCTCCATCTACAAAATTGGGAACATGTTTACTCTTCACCCAATCTTGAAACCTCCTACAACAAATTTCATAATATTCTTCAAACAGCTCTGGATTATACATGCCCATAAAAGAAAACTAAAATTATTAAAAACAAAAAACATATGAAGTACTACGATCCTGAAGCAAAATACCTTAAAGAGAACTTTTTGAAAGCTCTGCAAAAGTTTGAGTTAACGAACAGAAATGAAGACAAATTAGAAATGATTAATAGAAAAAGGATATACGACATGAAACTAAGAAACCTAAAAATGTCCTCAACAGCTAGCTTCATAGAACAAGCTGACAACAAACCAAAAGCACTATGGCAAGTTATAAACAAGGAAAGGAAAGGAAAATGTGAAGAGAAAACCCTTGCAGAATTAGAAATAAATGGCAAACTCACAAACAACACAAAAGAAATGGCCGAACACTTCAACACATTCTTCTCAAATATAGCAGAAAATACCCTTGACCAAAACAGAGCAATCGTTATAGACCCTGAAACAGTGCTGAGTGGAGAGGAACCAGTCTGCCCAATACACCTTACCCTAACTTCAACATCCTATAAAGAAGTTAAAACGATAATAAACTCCCTAAAAGCCAAAACATCAAGTGGAATAGATGAGTTTTCCTCTAAGATGATAAAGCACTGCTCTCAAGAACTCATCTCTCCTCTGGTTTATCTTATAAATAAATCATTTAAAGAAGGCAAATTCCCATCCGCCATAAAAGTCAGTAAAATATACCCCAAACATAAAAAAGGACCAACTGAAAATGCTCAAAACTACAGGCCCATTTCTCTCATCTCCAGTTTCTCTAAAATCATAGAAAAAATTGCTCTGGCTAGATTAATGGCACATCTTAATCATAACAAACTCTTAACTGACAACCAACATGGCTTTCGGAAGAATAAATCTACATCCTCAGCTATAACAGCACTAATTGAGTACGTCCTAGACCAGATAGAAAACGAACAATACATTTCCGCCATCTTCCTTGATTACAGTAAGGCTTTTGACTGCCTGGGCCACGACCTGATATGCAAGAAACTTGAAAGACTCGGTATAAGAAACTCTGCGATAGAATGGTTAAAAAGCTACCTAACGTTCACAAGTCGTGGAACTGAAAAACTCATCAAATGAAGTCACAGAAAGTTTCAAATCTTCAAAAAGCAAGCTGACAAGAGGAGTTCCACAAGGCTCTGTATTAGGCCCGATTCTATTCATCTTATTGACTAATGACTTCCCCAAACAAATTGAGAGTGAAAATGCTGTTGCAATCATGTATGCAGATGACACAACCATTTTGATCAAGGACAACACAGCCCAAAGCCTTTACCTTAATTCAAAATCGATCTTAAATAAAGCTATCCTCTACTCAAAGAACAATGACTTAGCAATAAACCCCACAAAAACTACAACTCTGAATTTCAGTAAGAAAAAAGACATAGTCCCTCAATTAGAGGATGTAACAATAGAAAACTACACAAAATTTCTCGGTGTTATCCTTGATAACAAACTGACATGGAAAGAGCACATCAACCACCTAAGCAAAAAAATCAGTACTGGAATATATGTCGTCAGAAGGATAAACTACATAGGCGGACTCTCTGTGGCCAAAACAGCTTACTTCGCACTGGTAGAGTCGCATCTTAGATATGGCTTGACAGTGTGGGGAGGAACTTCAACAAAAAATATGAATCGAATTCTTGTCCTTCAAAAGAAAGCCATAAGAGCCCTCGCCAACCTTGTACCACCACAGACTTGCAGACTAGCATTCGTAAACCTAGGAATCCTCACAGTGGTGTCTCTCTACATACTTGAAACCATTAAGTATGTGAATGAAATAAACCCCCCAAGAAACCAAGACCTGCACCACTACAACACCCGTCATGGCTCCAAATTTGCACTACCAGTTCACCGAACAACTCTTTGGGAGAAAAAACCTTCCTACACCGGCTGCAAGCTGAGGAACCATCTACCTGACTACCTGAGAGACCTGACTGGCAACAAGCTACACCAGGAGCTGAAGAAGTGGCTAATTGCAAGACCCTTCTACTCAATAAAGGAATTTTATGAAAATTAACATGTACAATTCACTATTGTATTGACACTATTGTAATTCTTGACAAATTAACAATAAAGAATATTGTATTGTATATTTCTTTGCAAGTTAAAGCAAACTGGTTTTCGTTAATTAACAATAAGTATTGATGTACATTGTAAGTTTATAAAGAATTAGTTTCTTAGAGAGTTGTAATTTATTGTCCTTGTGGAGAAATAAAGCAGGGTGTCCACAGAAAAGTTCTCATTTATTTCCTTGACTTTCCATGACTATCCATGACCATTTACCATTGATTTCCATGACTCACGAACTTTACTCGAAAATTTTAATATACCCTCGAATAAGTTATTTCACAGAATACACTGAAATATGTATTAACACGTTCAGTGGGAGGGGCGGGAATTCACGCCCCACTGTACCGGCGCCACTCGTGAGGGGCGGGAAATCACGTCCTTCACCAATTCCAACAACTTTGCTTCAATGTGAGCTCAGCCATTGCCAGGGAACGTTGTAATTGTTGCCAGCCTGTAGCGTAGAATGCGAGCTTTACTTTGGTGTAGTTTGGTACTAAACATTTCCGTAAAATCCCGTCTGGCAATGCTTTTGTCCCGTTTTCAGAGATTTTCTCTATTCGAGCCATATTACAAAGACTCTAGTTATTTATCCAGGCAGTGCTGCTACCTTTGGGTGTTTTAGTGAACTACGTCCACTTTCGGGGTAACGCAGAACAATCACCACTGCTCTTTTGTGATTCGTCTTACTGAGATATTTCAATGCCAATAGCGATCGCTGATTCAGTTAGCGTGCTGAGGCTCCGCCCGGGCCTTGCCGCAGTTTAGGAGCGCCATTGTAAAGGTTTACAGCTGTGATCGTGTTAACAGATAACAATGGAGTAATACATTTTGATAAAATATGGCATTCAAAATAAGTTAGGAAAAAAGAAAACCAAGCCTCCATTGTCCCCACAACTGGCCAAGTTCTCGCTCCACTTTCAATTTTCAAAACTCAACTAATACAACTGTAATAAATTGAATTGTCGTAGATTTGTGAAAAATCGTGAAAAATACTACAATAGTCTGCTTTTTACAGCTAACTAGAGCATTGAAAAGTACCCTCAAATCCATCCATCATTGGGGATTTCCATGACTTTCATGACCTTTTGCCTACTTCCATGACTGTTAATGACCAGAATCTTTTTTCGTGACTTTCTATGACTATCCCTGACTTTCCAGAATGTGGACACCCTGTAAAGATTTATTATTACTATTATTATTATTTTCAAGCGTACACGCATTATGTGCCTAATAAAAGCACACTGTTTTGTGTTGTTTGGTTACTGCCCTTTCTTACACCTGTACATAAATATAATACAAGTTTAACAGTTAAATACATTTTTCCTTCAGTTGCCTGACAAAGTGGGCTTCCTTGCACTGATTATAGCACGCAAAGTAGTTAATTGCTGCATTTACTTACTTTTGCTGCACTCTTTTTTTTCCACACTCCAGTATTTCAACCGAAGAACACAAAACAGTGTGCTTTTTTTTATTAGGCAAGTAATACGAAATAAGTTGAAAATAAGTTGGCAACACTTAAAGATACTACGACTACGGTTAGCTGGTGCAGCGTTTCCCCTTTCGTTCAACGCTTGGATTTAACCTAACCTAAAACATGTTACTAAAATTTAAGGTACACACCTTCACGTCCACAGTTCATAGATGTATGGTTAAACCCACTACATGTTTCGCCTATACATAGGCATTGTCAAGTGGTCCTTCAAGAACGTTTCGTCCATTGTAGACTCGTCAAAAAACATATAAATAAATACACAAAACATTTAACACTTAGTAGGCCTACTAAGTGTTAAATGTTTCGTACAATGTATCGTGTTTTGTGTATTTATTTAAATGTTTTTTTGACGAGTCTACAATGGACAAAACGTTCTTGAAGGACCACTTGACAATGCCTATGTATAGGCGAAACATGTAGTGGGTTTAACCATACATCTATGAACTGTGGACGTGAAGGTATGTACCTTAAATTTTAGTCTAATCAACAGTTCAGGGGCTACACAATGAATTTTAATAAAACATGTTGTATGTTTGTATAGTCTAATTATTTATATGATTCATAGTAACTGTAGGAAAAATCTAAAATGTAATATATAATGCAAGTGCAAAGTGCCTTTGCTGTACTTGAGAAACTTTCCAAACTCGCCAGCGGCTCTTGCGTAAACATTTCTCTCATGTGCAGCAAGGTGCCACTTCACACACTAGTTAAACCATAAGTAACTATAGTATAACTATAACTATTGTTCATATTATGTAGCGAGTAGACTTTGTCATTAAAATATACAGCGAGTAGTTTCCTTGAATACCAGGACTTTCCCTTACTGCCCTTGTGTTACAGGCAACTCAGTTTACCAGTTCTTGCAGCGCTGTCTAGAACTACTTCGTAAGGAGTTCAGTGAACTCAAGACTGTGACTGCTGATCAGCTGATGTACGTCAAGGAAGATCTTATCCTCCCTCACCACTACACTTTCTATGACTTTATTGTCACTAAGGTATGTTCCTTCTCTGTTGAAACTCTCTTTAGTTATTATTAATACGATTGTTTGATTTGATTATTGACTAAAGTGGGTACAACAACCACTTCTAGTTTAGTTATTGTTGTATGGCTAACAATTACCTCCAGATAAAAGGGATCGCAGTGTGTACAAGAATGCCCCCCCCCCCCCCCTATGCCAATATCACCGATAAACATGGGCTGGTCAGAGGAACAATTCCTTGACAAGGTACCTGTAGAAACCCTTGTATCGGTTCCGTTACATAGATGATATTGTCTTCTTTAAACCTTTGGCCAGATAAACCAAGACAAATTTTTCACCCATTTGGACAGTGTAAATTCTCTTGCATTCAACTGCACTCTCTCAACTTCTTAGATGTTTACATAAAACTTAAAGTCTGCACACTTAAAACGGAATCCACATAAAACTTACTAACCATCTCCAATACATCCACTACAACAGCTCTCACTCAAGAACACTAAAACGGCCAATGCCCTACAGCCTATCAGAGGCAAGAGGCCAAGATTTAACTGTTAAATAATGAGATCATCAATATATTATAATGTATTTACAACTCTAGTATGTTCCAGCCATTTTAAACATGTAACTCATGATGTGCAGGCAAGAGGGAAGAGCGGACCATTGTTTACGTTTGACGTTCATGACGACGTCAGGATGGTAAGTGACGCAAGTGTGGAGAAAGAGGAATCACATGCTGGCAAGGTGTTGTTGCGAAGCTGGTACGAACGAAACAAACATATCTTCCCTGCTAGCCGCTGGGAACCTTATGATCCTACCAAAACTTACGATAAATACACTGTCAAAGATAAGGGCTCTAAAAAAATAAATCATTAATACTCAAGCTTGTTTGTGTGTTTCATTTTTATATATCACTAGCAGAGCACCCGTCCTTTGTACGGGGTTGGCATATAAAATGCTTATTGCAGTTATACTCAAGCTTTGCGTTTTCAATGGGGGGAGGACATAGTTTGATAAAATTTGGTTCATAAATTTACGGAATGATATAGTATAACACATCTACTATTGCCATAATGTTCTACCACTATGAAATAAATAACAAACAGTCTAAACAATGAAAAAAATAAATTATCAAATATTCTCACAATATCACAAATTATTCATTAATTTAAAAACTCAAACCTAACTGTAAACAATCCTACTTTGACAGTTCTAATTTTGTATCACAGCTTTTTGTTGCTATTTCATTCAAATTAGCTGTTGTCATATATGAAAACACAAAATAATAATAGTGCTACACCCTGTTGGGAAACCTTATAACTTTTTAATGCTATTGCATATTATAGAACCAACTTGTAAAGTTGAAACAGCTGACTAAATTCTTTAATTCCTTTAAATACGAATACTCATAAGGTTAACATGGGGAACTACAGAGCCACTGGGGCGGAGCCCAAAAGAATTTTTGAGATAAAAATATGCCTTAATGTTAATCAGGAATGTGAGCTATCATCATGCCAAATTTCAGCCCAATGCGTCCAGTAGTTTATGCGTGATTGAGCAACACACACACAAACACACACACAAACAAACTCACAAACTTTCAGATTTAGGCCCGATTTCACCAAACTTTTAAACCGCCGTTAAGCCTTGCTCTAACTGCAGTTAGCTCTTAACTGACGAAATCGGATTTCACCACTCGCCGTTAGCGCTAGTTTAGACTAAACCGTCGTTAGATAATTAACTGCCCAATTTTGACCGGTTAACTTCTTTAATCTTTCGTTAAGTAAATATCAACTGGTTTTAAGTTAAAAGTTTATATGGAAAGGCGAAATGGTAGAAGAGAATACGGTACGAATTAGCTTTTGAAAGTAAGTGATGTGATGGCAATGAAGAGTAGCCTATGTTGTTCGCCTAACTAGGTGGATAAGAGAAAGGGTTAATGATTTTAATAACAAAGATGAAATTGATTTTATTATTAGATATGAACTATCAAAACGTTTAGCCTTTTTCTTTAGGAAATGTATACAACCCCACTGTAGTGGTTTGTGTTTAGGCTATCCCACATAGTGCATTGCTTTAGGTTTCCCACAAGGCTTTTAGTTAAGGCGTATATCTGTGATCAGCGACCGCATTGAACTGATTGGCGATCAAGAGCCGTACTCTTTTATCCCGGCTAAAAAGAGTGTCCCGGCTCTTCTGCCAACATTATCAAATTTATTATTTCATTGTTTGAAAAAATAGGTTCCCTTTTCCTTCTCCCGGCTTTAAATAACCCTAACCCAACATTCAAACAATTGTTTTGCGTTCGGTCAGACGTAAGTAAACCAAAATCTAAACCTAAATTGTCATTATTCTGCTAGTATATTTTATAGAAATAATTATTTTTGCGTTATCTACATTGTGTCTCGTTCTTGTAATTCTTTTGACTCCAGTTTTTTTCACTACTTCAAATGTACCAAACTGGTTAGCGAACAAACAGAATATTGAACATCCCTGTAAAAAGTTGGATTGGTGAGTCTTGACTCGACCGCAAAACTCAACCAATTTGTTCCTCGAAAATGTTTGATCAACATTGATTTGCCTTTAATTACTTATGTTAATTGTTTTGGTATTTATTCTTGCTTTCTGTTGTTATTTTGCTCAGAATCTATTGTATTCCTGTAAGCTTGCTGTCTCCAGTTTTGTTTTCACTACCTCATAAACACTGATTTATTTTCTAGGTTATATTTACTTGCTCCCGTAACAGCCCGGTATTATGACAGTTCACTGCCACTGCCACCTGGATTTTTCTCTAAACTCTCGTTTATAAAACCAGCGTTAGTTTTGACGCGTTTTCATTGGTGAAACCAGATTTCCTTAACTGAGGTTTAAATCATCGGTTAGTTTTAACCGAAGTTTAACTAAACCATCGTTAGCGAGAATTTGGTGAAATCGGGCCTTATAATATTAGTAAGATTACACTATGTACTTTAATGTTGATAAATTGTGTGTTGGCCCTGGAACAGAACAGTAACATATTAAGGTGTCTCATAGGTAGTTTCCCAATATGTAACATTTTTAGTAGATTGAGAGTAAACTCCCTATGAAGAACCCGCACAAATTTTGTTGGTTAAATTATAGGATGAATTGCAACATTAATAAACAGCACCAGGATTGTTCTTATACAAAAATATACATAAAGTGGTGTGAATAAAAATTAGCATTTTCTAACTAGCATATGCTAGGTTTAGTAAGTATTCGGTCAAATCAGTGTGAATAAAGATTTGTAGAAAATACTAGGGCAAGTCTAGTCGAATCCGGAAAAACTCAAGCACCTACTCGCGGGGTAGTACATGCTCTGACCAAGTAAATGCTAGGTTTTAACGCTCCTGTCACAAAACGTTATCCCCTCCACTACCTTTCAGTCTACTCCACATCGGCGGCATATTCCTCTCTCACTCTGTTCAACCACACGCTAGAAGATTTGGATCACACAGTCTTACTTAGCAAATCAAAAACCCCTTCTGTGATGAATGCTAAGAAAGAAACTTGGGAAACCTTGCGTTCTGACTACTGTGGTGCATTGGGGAAACAAGTTACTATAGGCCAACTAATAAAAGCATTAAGCAATGTGAAGTTTACCGTCAAGAAGAAGACTGAAGTAAAAGTGATGGGAAACAGGAAAATAAAACTACAACCGTGGGAAAAAAACATTCATGGAGTTAATAGAAGATGATAACCCAAGATCCCGGGTTATTTCATGATATTAGTGACTTGTAATTTGTTACATATTTATTACTTAGAGTTTTTAAAAGCAAAATTGTTTGGACCGATCAAAAACGTTACGGAACAATTATTATTTTAAAACTGCTTGAGTCACCTGTTCAGGTTACATAATTGATGGTTATAAAAATTAATATTTTATAACCTCTTCTGTTTTGGTAAAACAGGTGATGAATTGGAATTGCCAGAAATGAAACCTTTTGCATCTAAAAATGTTTTTTGTAAACCGACGTAGCCTAAAAGTTGTATGTCTTAAAAATCAATAGGAAATAAGTGTATTGTTCGATTGTAATAATGTTACCAATGATACACTATAATTTTATTTTTAAGATGTTTATTTTATGGTGTTGATAGTGTAGCCTATATAATACAATTTCAATTTCAATACTCAAAAACGGAACTATACAAAATGCTGGTCAAAAGTTAAAATACCTTTCTCATAGTAACTAAAACAAAACGCCTAGTAAATGCAAAGACAGTTATTTAGGCTCCATGGCAAGAAATAGTTTAATAATCAATATTGAGCAACTTTTTCATGAAGATCATAGCTGTCTTGTAGCTTCATGGTTTCAACTAACAGTTGTAGGAATATTATTATTATTTATTGCTTTCTCTGTACAAATATAAACAAAATAATATTTTATATTAGAGGTTTTCAGCATTTTTCATTTGAAACAAATATTTACACTTAAACATAATGTTATGGTACCAAAGGGAAACTCTCCTGGTTATTTTGGGGGTGGAACCACGCTGATCGGTATATAAATACCAGAGAAATTGGTGAACATCTATATAAAAAAATACATTGGCACAAACGAATTGAGAACCTCATTCTTTTGGTGGTAGTGGGGAAGTCGGTTAAAAATACTCGCAAGTAACAAATACAATAGATGGCTATTCAAATTTTAAAAAACCCATTACTGTAATCATCAACATCACATTAACTAAACTAGAACAATCGCAATAAAACAACAAATACTGAAATACATACGCGAGGCTCTCCACGTACAAATCACGCTGTCTGGAGTCAAGCTGGGTGTGAGTGTCATGTGTGTGCTGGGTGAGCCAAGATTTGTGCTGGCGCGCGGGGCGTGTGTGTGAAATCTATAACGCGGTAAGAATGTTTGTGTGTGTGTGAACGGCGAGACCTCTAGCGCCGTTCACTATCTACTAGGGGAGTATGTTTAATCTATGATCTAATCCATGCTAGAGAAAGGGTTGTAATAGAAAGGTGTTTTGGCCAGTTGAAGAGGAGATTCCCAATCCTGGGAAACTGTGTTAAAGTTGCATTAAACAACATTCCACAAGTGGTAGTCAGTTGCACTGTGCTACACAACATTGCCAAGCGTCTAAAGGATGACTTTGAGCATGGGGATCTTGATATCGTCCCAAATGAAGATGACCAACCTGGGGTGGTTGGTTTTTGTTATGAAAATACCGACACAACGTTAAGAGGCAAAGACAAGCGTGTCAATATGATGGCGTATTTGAATATTCAGTGAGGAAATTGTTTGTAACTCAATATAAATTTAATATTATACCCCTTCTAAGATAATAATTAGAAATATAGAGTATATGAGAATAACTATATATAAATCATATAGAACCATTTATAAAATAAAACATTATAGGTAATTTATATAAAAACTTAGCAGTAGTTAACTCAAACCCTAAATATAAGCCCATAAACACTATAACTAAAGTTAACACTTTTAAGTAAAATGGAAGTAATAAAAAACTTAAATCTAAATTAAGAATTCATATATACCCACAACCAAACATAATAGAAAATAAACACAGAAATATAACTCTATATTTCATTATATTAATATTTTCTCTAATATCCAAAAAACTCAAATAATTAAATTTAGTGATAATCGTATAGTAAAATAAACGAAGTCTATAAAATACTGTTAAACCCAAACTTAAGTAAAATAAAATTCATACAATAATATTTAAGCCATTAAAAGATAAATTTTCCACAATTAAGTCCTTTGAATAAAACCCTGATAAAAATGGGAACCCACATAACGCTATATTAGCTAAATTGAAACATCTGCATGTAATAGGTATACAAAAACAAATTCTACCTATAAAACGAATATCTTGACAATTACCTAG